TTATTGAAGGAAGGGACAGTGGTGGGATTCTTTTGACCCCCTGTCCAGAGCGGCCTCTTTGAGTTATTATAAGCACCACCCCCAGAGTCGGACACGACTGGACTTAATGTCAGGGGACAACCTTTACCTTTACCTTACACTACTGTAGCTCAAGCTCTTAAATCTATCTAGAAATCTCCCCAACAAAATGTATACTAACCATATCAAGGAATGTTACTACAACTTCTGTTATCCCCTGGTCAGCACAGCCATTGAAAAGAACTTTGCTATAAGAGATCACTCCCTGACTGATTTGAATCATAAAGAGACAATATTGTCTCCCAATTAGAAACTGGAATAGCCACCAAGAAAAACTAAGTTCTTTTCTCATTCTTTGAAGTTTTCAAATACTTTCCCTCCGACATACTTAGTTGCTCAGTTTCTAAAACTCTTTTATTTTATTTTCTTTTTTAACTGGACCTACTGTAGTGCAGTTAACAAATCAGAGCAGGTGATGTGTTTGGCATCATCCCCCATCATTCAGTTCTTGTGGGTTTTTTCGGGCTATATGGCCATGTTCTAGAGGCATTCCCCATCATGCTAGAAAAAACTTTTCATGTTAATTTTCTATGCGGTTAAAATCACACCATAGTAACTTCTCCAAGAAACTACGATGGCAGCAATAGTTTCCTGTTCGCCCTGATGCAAAATATGTTGAAGAGTGAAGCTCTTAATTTAGTTTGAAATTGCACCAGTGGCCAATTCAATATATTGATCAGTAATTTTTAAAATGGCAAATTTTCAATTTGATTCAGTGCTAAAAACACTTTCTTCTTGTTTTGAGATGAGCAAACAATCAATTATTTTTTGAATACCCAAGTAAAATACTTGTTTATTTGCTGCCAAGAGAACACCTCATCATCAAAGTCTGTCTTGTGCCAGGACACTGTGATACTTTCAAAAACCAATCCACCGAAAATTACTCTGCCAGAAAATATACAACCATTTCTCATAGCACACCTTGCCTTTCACCCGATGAAGCAATATGGAGATCATAAAAGTTTGCTCTTGTTTTTGTACCCTTTGGTTGGCCAACTAACAGACAAAGGAGTTTTCAGTTCCTCCTCCATTCATATCTCCGACTGGCTATCTCATCTTCAGGGTGGGTGGAGAGAGACAGGTTACAGCCAAGGCACCAAAAAATGCACCAGGAGAAACAGAAAGATTTTAGGAAATACTGGGGGCAGAGTAGGATAAAATTATTGGGCACTGATGACCTGGTTGACACTTCTGATTCATACTACTTGCACCCATTCTATTGTTGCCCCTGTAACCATCTGCCCGCCACAGTACTCAACTGGCTTCTTTTTAATTAGGATTTTTAAACTCATGTCTTGTGTTTACTGTGTTTTAATTTTTGTTCTGTGTATTTTAATATGTGTATTTCATAGAAATACATTTTAACATATTCCTTTACATAATGTTTTTAAATGGTGTGTTTTTAACTGAGTCGTGTCCCACCTCAAGGAGAGGCAGAAATTATTATTGTTGTTGTCGTTGTTGTTGTTGTTGTTGTTGTTGTTGTATACTATTTCCAGCACTTGTTTAGGTAATCAGCTAAAAGATCTCAATTTCTCCTAGGTAATTTCATTAAATTAAAACAGATATAATTGGGCTATATTGGCTGCTTCACTACCCCAATCACATCAGACAGTGCACTTGTAAGAAGGGTTACTCTCTCAGGGCCCTTCCACACAGCCATATGACCCAAAATATCAAGGCAGATAATCCACAATATTTGCTTTGAATTGGATTATCTGAGTCCACACTGCCATATAATCCAATTCAATGTGAATTTCATACAGTTGTGTGGAAGGGACCTTAGTTAAATTTACTGGGCATCCTCTCATCTTGGTGACAATTGAGCATGCACTTTGTTGGCACACTGCCACTGTCAAGTTCATTGTTTACTTTCATTTTCTCTCAAGCATTCAAACTTATCTTTATTTATATTAGATTGGTTACTGTTGAAAATAGAAACCTTCTACAAGCCTCCTATGCTAGTTATTTGTTATGTATATAATTGTGACTGCTTACTATGTTGTATGCAATATATTGATATGTAGTTTTCCCTTAACTCTATGTTGTTTGAGGTTGTGGTTGGGACTGCAGACCATATGACCAGATTTGGGACTATTCAGACTGAGACTCCATTTTAGAAGGCAGTGGGGGTTTTTTTGCATCAGAAGTCGGTACGGTTTAGAAGTCAGCCAGTACAGTATGCAATTGTCAGCGTTAGTGTCAGTATGCTGCAGTGTATAGTCAGTCTTTATTAAGTCAATGTTCAGTAATGTATTAGATTGAAGAGAGTGTTAGTCTGAATACAACAAAGATAAGACTAAAACAGAATGTTTTGGAGAACAGATTGTTTGAATGCTCAACTAATAAGAAATATGCCTGGATGCTGAATACATTAAGTTTGTAAGTAAATCAACTATGTTACCTTTGATGATTACTTATTTTTGGTCTCTTGAGAGCATGATTTAAAAGAAATATATTTTATGGGAAAGTAGATGTTTTTTGGGCACTTCTGAAGATTTGCTATATTTTTTGTACATTGGCATATATTTGTTCCTAACAGTTCAGTCAGAGAGGTATATCAGTCTAACAACTGAGGGCCCTTTCACACAGATCTATATTCCAGAATATCAAGGCAGGAACATCCACATTATCTGAGTGTGGCTTCAGGGCCCTTCCATACAGCGCTATGTCCCAAAATATCAAAGCAAAAAAAAATATTCCAAAATATCTGCTTTGAACTGAGTTATCTGAGTCCACACACCGATAATGTGGGATTTCCTGACTTGATATTCTGGTATATAGGGCTGTGTGGAAGGTCCCTGAGAAGCCTAATTTGCCTTGCATGAATACTAGTGGATATTAACCATTAAGGAGAAGATTCACTCAAACAAGTATTTAACTCTTCTCAGAAAGATCATACTTTACAAAAGGTTATGATTATTCCAAATAGGGTGAATGCCAATTAATTTCCAAAAGGGTCACGCTTCTAAAAGACTATGGAGATTCCTGGTTTTCCAAAAAGTTATGATCTCTAAAAGGTCATGCTTTTCCAAAAGTTACAGCCTTGGAGATAGTATGCACCTATTTTCATAATATACTATCCTCTAATATGCATCTATTAGCATTTCAAGAACTTAAAGTAGATGAACAGAATTTTAATCGGCATAGCCACAGAAGACGATTGTGTAAAAGTTACTAGCACCATCTCTGTATCCTACTTTACAGGCTTGTTGTGAGAATAAAATTGAGTATTTTGAGCTAAATAGATAAAAGACAGAATGCAAATGTAACAAGCAAGCAAAACAAAAATATTAACTGTAGGCAGTATAAAAGTTTTGCAAGTACAGATCATGAAGTCACTCACTCTGCCCTTGTTATCCATTGTAATTGCAATCTGCATTCTTCTGCCTCTTCGAAAAGAAACCAGTTGGTCCATTTCTTCTTCACTGATGTCTGGTCCCTCTCCTGGGCTCACAAGACACTCTGGCCCCCGCTTTTCACTGACAACTCGCTTTCCCTGAGAAAAGGTAAATGGCAGTTATCTCTCTTTGCACAACAGCCCTGTCAGGACATCTCTCTCTGTGTGTGTGAATTTGATACACTGAAGTTCTGGATGAAACTGAAAATCTTCTCTGGCTTGAGTCATAAAAGATTTCTATAAGTAAAGGTAGATGGAAACCCTTTCTTGTAGGGTTTCCTTTGCTTTAAAAGACATGCCTGAACTGAAGTACCACCACCACCACAGATTACGTATAAAGACCCCAGACTCTAAATGTGCAGAGAATGGATTTGTTTGGAGCTTATATATTTGGGGAAAATGCATTTTTGGAAAGGGTCTCCTTATTCCTTCCTTCACGGACAGACCTTCCACACAGCTCAATAAAATCCCACATTATCTGCTTTGAACTGGAATATATGGCAGTGTGGACTCAGATAACAGAGGGCCCTTCCACATAGCCATATAACCCAGAATATCAAGGCAGAAAATCCCACAATATCTGCTTTGTACTGGGTTATCGGAGTCCACACTGCCATATATTTCAGTTCAAAGCAGAAAATGTGGGATTTTATTCAGCTGTCTGGGGCCCTTCCACACAGCCCTATATCCCAGAGCATCAAGGCAGGAAATCCCACAATATCTGCTTTGAACTGGGATATCTGAGTCCACACTCAGATAATGTGGGATTTTCTACTTTGATATTCTGGGATATAGGGCTGTGTGGAAGGGACCCCAGTTCAAAGCAGATATTGTGGGATTTTCTACCTTGATATTCTGGGTTATATGGCTGTGTGGAAGGGCCTGGAGAGAAATTTCCTTACCTTCTGCTTTTGGAGGCCTCTTATTGGGATCACCAGCTAGATTTGCCTAACTCCTATTTAGATGAAATCACTGAAGCCTAGCATTCCAGGCTTGGCTGAAAGTTCTCTTTTAGACCTCCCAGAATATGGGATTTTTGCCAGAGCATCTCGTTAGTTTGTTCTCTTTCTTAAAATCCTGGCTGTGGCTCACAGGACATTGTTTAGTCTGCCTTCCCTTTTTGCAACTGCTCCAACCTGAAGTTCAATGTTCCTCTTCTATGGAAATATCTGGCTTTTATATGAGGGATTGACAAGGAATTCTGGGTGCTGCGGGCTGTATTTCAGAGGAAGGCAATGACAAACCAAATCTGATAGTCCTTGACTTAAAAAAACTATGAATTTGACTTGAAGACACAAATATATTAAGCAAAATGTAGCAGGTGTAGTGAAATATTGTCTTATAGCACAAGCGGGAATAATTATCCAGGATGCTCTTGAAAAGTTTGAAAGGACAACTTAACACTTATTACTTTATCCATCTTGAGAGTGGAAAGAAGAGCAACAAACGAAGTTGACCTATATATGGTTACAAGAGTCCCTAAAACTAGTTTTCATGTGTGGGAGGAAGCTAGCAACCATTATTGGGATTGGAACCCCATGATGCTCCATTCTTGGGGCCCTTCTATACTGCCGTATAAAATTTAGATTATCTGTTTAGAGCTGCATTATATGGCAGTGTAGACTCATATAATCCAGTACTAAGCAGATAATGCGGATTATCTGATTTGATAATCTGGATTATATGCCGTGTAGAAGGGTAGAACTGGACAACACCGGTTCTTTGGCTTAGAAATGGAGATGAGCACCAACCCCCAGAGTTGGACATGACTAGACTTAATGTCTGGGGAAAACCTTTACCTTAGGCACTAAATACTATCTTGTTCTGTCAGTTTTTAAAATGTTTCTTTGCTGAGCCTTCATTTTAACTGCCATTTGTACAGATTGTAAGGATTTGTTCCTTTGTTTGTTAGTTTAATTAAAGTTGTAATATTTGCATTGTACATTGCTTACAGTATCTGCTAATTGTAGGATGCAGTTTCATAAATCCAGTATTTTATCTATTTGTAAAAATAGGTATGTCTTTCCTTATATCATGAGATCTCGGGGCAGCATTAAATTGAAGCATTTAAAAGCCCAGTACAAATAATAAGAAATGCAGATTATTTTGAACCAGTTGCTTCTGACATCATCCTAAACTTGGATTAGCAGTTGTAAATTTTAAGAGCCTTCTAGCATACTTTCACAATGTCCTGATCTCTTAATAAAGCTTTGCAACATGATCTTTCAAATAATAACCTCCAGAATATCTCAAATGGTTGGGAAGTTCTAAGAGTTCTCAAAAAATCAACAACTTTTCTCAGTTTTATTTTCTTTCTTGGGCTCTGACTTCTGATTCTTAGATTACAGAATCTAAACATGCGAAGGTATCTGCTGCTGCTTCTTGTAAGATTATTCTAATCAGTTCATATAATTCTCAGCACATACGCCATCGCAACCTAATGTGATGTGTTGTTTTGATTGCCGCCATGAGTTGAGCAGATGTCCTCCCCAAGCTGTCCCCAAAGACGCCTGGAGAGCGCTTTCTGAAGTGGCTGAAATGAATGTGCAATCCAATCTGGCAGTAAAAGACTGAAGGATCACATTAGTCTGAGTGCATGCTGCTTCTTCTTTGTGACTCTAGAGTTTAATATTCATGACAATAATCCCTAATTGGCTAAAAAGCTACACATTATGTAGGAGAAACATTCTCACAGAGATTACCAGCCAAGGGCTCACTTGCTCAACAGTAATAATAATATGGATTTCAATAGGAGGTCAATTACTCTAGAAGAAATGGTGTGTGAATACCAAATAAGCCTTGCTTGCTCAAGGAACTCATTGGGTGGCATTGTAGACTGTGCTGGGATGAGATATTGGGGGACCAAATTTGGTCCCTGTCCAGACATGAAATTTATTGCATGGTTCAATTCATTTTGATGGGTTGGAATACTGGTAAATCACATTCAAATATCTACTTGCATATGAGATTATGGGGTATCTTTGAGCAAAGCATTCCCTGAATAGCAATGTTTATTGTTTCCTAATGCTGGCTGAAATCCTTTGGAACAGCGCTCAGTGTACTGATTACCACTGGGACCACCTGTACTGGTTTATGCCAGAGCCTTTGCAGTTCAATTTTGAGGTCTTGATAACAGCTGTTGTTTTTTTGTCAATTACATTGTCACCTGGTATGGCAACATCAATAATCCAAACCTTCCGTTCTTGTGGGTTTTTTCGGGCTATATGGCCATGTTCTAGAGGCATTTCTCCTGACGTTTCGCCTGCATCTATGGCAAGCTTCTTCAGAGCTTGCCATAGATGCAGGCGAAACGTCAGGAGAAATGCCTCTAGAACATGGCCATATAGCCCGAAAAAACCCACAAGAACTGAGTGATTCCGGCCATGAAAGCCTTCGACAATACATTAAATCCAAACCTTTTTCTTTTCCACAATCGTGATGTCTGGTGTATTGTGTTATAGCTGGATCAACAAGTGCCTAGACACCATCAGGATTTGTAAAAATCTTGGCACTTTTATTGAAATTATGATGAAGCACTGGAAAACTGAACTGTATGTTGGAAATGAAAACTACAGATGTGTCAACATCAGGAGAGGAATTTTCCAGGGAGACTCATTGTCCCCACTACTTTTCATCATTGCCATGATCCCTCTGTCAACAATCTTACAAAAAACAAAGTTCAGCTATCAAATGTCTAAGAAATCTCACAAAATATTATTATTATTATTATTATTATTATTATTATTATTATTATTATTATTATTATTATTATTATTATTATTGCAAAGACTGGATGGCCCCTGGGGGTCTTCCACTGAAATACTATGAAGTTTATATTGGTTAAAATTGTTCTTCGTTTTCAGTATTGTATTGTTCTTTCTTTCTTTCTCTCTCTCTCTCTCTCTTTTGCACTATAAACAGTAGCCACGAGGTGGCACTGGATTTTGATTTGTTCCATAGAAGTTCATATTTTCATCCTGATCTTGTTTAAGATGAAAGAGGATATTAAATAAAACAGACTCGCTTACAGGCTGATGTATCTGTTAAAACTTTCCATGACACAGAACCTTCAGTATTTCAAACACGTGCACACATATTCTGAGTTCCTTCTAGAAGATGTTGCATGGCCACAGGTTTCCCATTTTCATATTTGAAATGTTGTAAGGTATAGTATAGGAATTAAATAAGGAAGAAATGCACAAAAAATAAAATACTAAGTAAAATAGAGAGCAACACAAAACTGTTCATGTGCAACATCCCTGAACCCACCAACTGATCCCATCCATCTTTGTTCATTTATTAACAAAAATGTCGATGGTAACAGGAACACTAGGAAATTGAGAAGATCAGTATGCCTTTTTCCACATAAAGGAGGTCTGAAGAAAAATTGCACCACTAATGATTTTCCCTTTTTGCTGGAAAGAGGAGATTTAATTTCTATGCTAAAGGGGAGATGTGTGTAAGTATGGGCACTAGGTGGGTAAATGGATGAGTGTGAACAGAGAGATTGTTTAAATGGAGAACTTTCGAAACTTAGGCTGCATCTACATAATTGACACCACTTTAACTACCCTGACTCAATCTAATGGAATCATCCGAGTTATTGTTTTAGCACAGTGGGTTAACCACCAGTTGCAGAAAATCTTGCCAATTGAAGGGTTGACAGTTCAAGCCTGGGTCAGGGTGAGCTCCTGGCCATCAGCCCAGCTTCTGCTCACCTAGCAGATCGAAAACAGTAATGTGGGTAGATAAATAGGTACCACTTTAAGCGGGGAGGTAATAAAAGGCGCCCATAAGGACATACCAACTATTCGATCTGGAGGTCGTCTACGGACAACACAAAGCTCCTCAGCATGGAAGATGGAGTGACAGCATTCTGATTAATTCATTTTCCTTACAATATGATATGGTTCTCCGCATATACACACAGACACACTCACCTTGGATTTATTATCCATGGTAACTGCCAGTTGAACCCTCTTCCCCATCCTGAATGTAAACAAGTGATCACCTTCTTCATCCTCCTCCTCCTCGCTGCCAACTGTGAAGCCTGAGGCAGGAGAGTTTCCCCATTTCTCATTGACAACTCTTTTCTCCTGCAAAAGAAGAGACAGCTTTTTAAGGAAAATGGCCAGCAATTTTCCATATTAATCTTAATAGTTGGAGAGAAGAGACTGTGGCCTAAATCCAACAGAATCAATGAGTCAATTCCTATTTAAAGTGTTCTGATTCATTGGACCCACTGTAACTGGGACTTGCAATTGGATTTAGGCCAGCAAACAGCAATACACTTTTCTTGGTCAGTGACATAAATTCCCTGAAGTTCCTTTCAAAGGAACAACTGGCTCTTTTGTCTAAACTGCAAAGCAACTCATAGATTAGAAGGCGGTAGGGGAAACACACATTTCCACATCTGACATTTGCCTGAAATGTCAAAGGTTTAGGGCCGTGATGGTGAACCTATGACACGCGTGTCAAAACTGACACGCATGGCTATTTTTGATGACATGCGGCCACATGCGGCCGCATACAGAGAAGTACACCTTATAAGAGCCAATCTAATTCCATCCTTAAATTTGTAAAAGACTCTACAAATTTAACATCTGCAAGTTTGAGCATTGTTCACTCCATAACTCAGCATGGAATATACATTTTTCTTATTTAAACTATAAATATTGCAAAATTATGTGGTTTTTTTTTCCTCGAAGTTGATACCCCACCCAAGTTATGCTCAGGTTTTTGGCAAATTTTGACACACCAAGCACAAAAGGTTGCCCATCACTGGTTTAGGGTATGGATGGAGTCACCAAGGTGTGGAGTATTCCTAAACAGACATTGATAGCACTTATTTGTGCCCTTTAATATCTATCAATCCCCCCAAAGCTCAATCTCTCAATTTATTTTTTAAAATGCAGAGCGAGTTTGGGGCAATTTTAGGCCTCAAAAACCACACAAAGGCCCCCCAAATGCATGAAAACATGCAAGAATATGAACCTATCACAAACAATCCAGAGCCTGTTTTGTCCCTCATATCTGTTTTCTTCTGCAGTCCCATTCAAAATGGTAGATCATTTTGAGGCCCCTTCTAAACTGCCATATAATCCAGATTATCAAATCAGATAATTCATATAATTTGCTTTGAACTGGATTGTATGAATCCACAATGCCATATAATATAGTTCAAATCAGATAAACTGGATTAATTTGGCAGTATAGAAGAGGCCAAAGAAAGACTGTAGATTAAAAAACTGGGTTTTGTATTAATTCTGTTCCTCTCCTCTGGGGTTTTAGATCCCAATGTGGTGTCATTTCCATCTTCTACTCCATTTTCCTCATGTTTAGTACTGTTTCCCTTTTGAAGAGCACCCAGGAAGAGTTCTGTCTTTTCTCTTTTAGCTGTTTGCCATCTTCTCCATGCAGTGGCATTTCCTTGTTCTTTCTTTTGCTACAGACATAACCAAAAAGCTCTTTGTGTTGTTTTTAATTTCTCTAGCAAGCCTGAGCTCATTTTGTACTTTAGTTTTCTGACTATCTCTCTATATGTGCTAGCCATTTGTTTTAACTCCTCAGTGGTATTTCCCCCTTTTCTAATTTCTTGCACATTGCTGTTCTGTGCCTTTCTTTCCCAATTTATGATGATCCTAAAGTGACCTTATTCTGTATTTTTCTTAGGCTGAGACCTCTTCTACACTGCCATATAACCCATATAATCCAGATTATCAAAGCAGATAATCCAAATTATCTGCTTTGAACTGGTTTATATGAGTCTACACTGCCATATAATCCAACTCAAAGCAGATAATCTGGATTTTATATGGCAGTGTGGAAGGGGCCCAAAAGTGCATGACTCATTCAAGGTCAACCAGGGGTTTCTATAGCTGAACAGACCATAGACTAAGAATCCACATCATTTCGACTGAAACATCTGTCAGCGTTTACTTTCATTATTTTTTCTCTCCTTCAGTGATTGGATCCGAAAACTGGAGAAAAAACAAAATGGCAACCTGTGCATTAAATTTCTTCAGCTTCCTACCCAGAGATTCATAAACTCTTGAGATATCTTGAAGGCCACAAACCACTGCTTCTATTCCCCTCAGCAGGGATTCCCCCACAACAACTAAACATCTCTTCTGAGGATTGGCAGGGGCTATTCCAAGTGCTGAACCTTCTAGAGCCACCTTCATGTTCTCTGAAGACTGCCACTGCTGCTCTTCTTGCTATTCCTCATCATCACTGCTAAGGAAGAGGACTTCAAATTGTTTCTGTAGCATCAAACTAACAGTATGATCCCTGGTTCTCCTACTTCTCTGTGTTACATTCCTCCAAATGTCAATCTGCTGTGCTTGGAGACTGGCATCCTCCTCAGAGACATCCTATATGTGCTTCTCATGGCAGCCTACTTCATTCTGTCAAAAGACCTCGTCACATTGAGGTCAAAATTGTGGGTGATAGCAGGGGGATTTGCCATGGATCATGGCAAATCCGGCATGGGGAACCCATCACTCCATGCCCCGCATCGGCCATTACCTCCTCCGGGCGGGCGGGGGGGGGGGGCGTTACCACCCAGCTTCCCCTCGTTCTTCTCAATGAAAACACGGGAAGCGTTCCATGTTCTCTCTGCTGCCCCTTATGACAGTTTCACCTCACTTCAGGGACAGAGCCCTTCCAGAAGTAGATCTATGTTGTCTGATGGGATCCAGCAGGATCCGTTCCTGAAGTGAAGAGAAACTGTGATAGAATGGGTGATTTTGCTTATGTGATGAAGTCATAAGAAAAGCTCATACTCCCTAATATGTTGAAGAGAAACATGGGTCTCAAACTACTAGATCTTTTCTCTTAACAGGGTAACCAACTTGTACTTACTATAGGTGTAGCTACCCACATCCACTAGAAAGAATACAAACATATCACAGCTACTGCAGACACAACTGCCACAGCTCCCTCATTATCCATATTCAGTAGCCTTAAGCAGACATGACAACAGGCCCCTACTAAATCATGCCTGGTTGCCTGGCCTGTTAACAGAGCTCCTGTTCAACTCTTACTGACATGACTGTAAGTAAGATATGCACTATTGGTTAGAGACTGAATTGAAAAGGCAGAGGCAGTAGTTATATAGAGCCAGTGGTTACTATGTCCATCTGCAAAAAGCCCTGCTCTTTTAAACCATGTGTTCAGGAGGAAAACATAATCAAAAATCCAGTAAACTTCATGGCTAGGAGAGGCTTTGAACCATTCCTATTCCCCAATGCTCTAACCAGTACACCAAAGCAGTGAGAACTGTTGTCTCTTATGTCAAATCCATTCTGAGTTTTTGGACTTTAATGGAACTATTCAAGCTGCTGAACACATTCCCAAAATAGGTTCAGAACCTTGGAAACTGTCTAAAACTTGGAATTGATTCACCACTCCATTGAAATGGGAGTCACTAGTCATCACTATATCATATTGCCATCTAGGTCATCATAGGACATACATTTTGCAGAAGACTTAATAGATGTCGCAAAGCTGGAAAATAAGGGAAAAAACAATATATTACTTCTTCCCAAGTCCTGCAAGTGATGAAAAGAATCTATCAATTGGGCAATGATTTATGATGACCATATTCTGGTTACCACCTAACTCAGTCATGATGATTCACTCGTTTTAATTGCTCCTTCTCCATGACACTCTGGGCAATGCAATAAGCATCATTTGCAGTGAGTACTTCACATGGGGCTTTTTTTTAGCATCCTGGGACACTTCCCCACCACTCCAGTGATGGGTGGGCATACTACCCATTTCACAATGCCACTGGACTTCCAGTGGAGGCCTTGCCCACAACCTGAGTTAAAGTGTCCTAGGAAACATCCCTCCAAACACGAGAGCCTGCCTTTGCTGTGTTGGCTCCATGTGATGGGGGAAGCAGTGCTGTGATGAAGCGGTGTAACAGTCACCCCCCATCCCTGCCTTTTCGCCACAGAGGCTGGCAAAACCACATAGAGGAGAGTTCCCCATGTGATGAAGTCCTTAGTGTGTTTTTCTCAGCCCTGCTTAACAGGTCTACTACATAAAAAATAGGAATAACAACACGCTGCTCTGCAGATGTACTCATGAATTAGACCACTACCCAGGCTGGTTGGCGTATTTGGGAAGTTTTAGTCCAAAAGTAAAACTTTTCCAAGCTCTAAATTAGACAAATTCATGGAGGATAAGCCTGTCCATGGTTGGTAGTTCCAGCTCACAAGTATTATGCCAGATCACAGAATCCAAAGGAATATCTGCCGTTAACTGAGTGGACTTGTGCCCCCTACCAATTGTGGGAGACTTCTGCTGTTGCCTGCTTGTCCTTTCCTTGCAACGTAGTACTGGCATTTTTGCTGGGAGAAGCCATTTGTACTTCTTTCCAGGCACTAAACTGTGTTCCAATACAAACTAGTGGAGCAAACATAGGAGAATGTCATTAGTGCCCTGCATGTTTCACTTTAGACATCTAGTGGAGGAAACCAGCAGGGTTCTTCAATTCACTAAAGGAAAAAATGAATAGAAAAGTTCTGCCATATGGGCTGTATACAGCCCAGAGGGCTTCCCCACTTGGTAGCATTTTTTTTTACTATGCAAATGCTGCAAGGTGTTTCAAATTGATGGATCTGATTTGAAATCATTATATCTCTGCAACCACAAACTGCCCATGAATGAAACTCTTACTACTGGAAAGGGTGAGGCATAGAGTTTCAAATGATTACTGCTAGATTATTCTCCAAGCATACAGGCAGCCCCTAGCCTCAGTCATTGATCTGCCAATGCCAAAGAGTATTTATTATTGCTGCCAACAATATGAGAAAATAGGCAGTTTATATAAGGGGAAGAGCACACAGTGACCACATACTTTGGTGAAAAACTTGATAACTCATTAAACTTTTTATGTAATTGTAACATGTTGCTATTATGAAATATACTGCTCTGAAATTGGGTCCATCATTTTGAAACACTCTATAATTAAAGCCAAGGAAGCTGTTGTACGCTGCTAAGTTTTGGTTTTCTGAAATTCTTCTTTATGAAGAATATTCATCTTTGACTTTATCTCATATCTCTGATTAGAGATAAGAGACTATTT